CCCTACATTGTCTTTGCTTTTTTCTTTCCTTTCCACACTGTCATTATGCTCTCAGAATAAATACGACAGACATGAATACTAACAAGGGACACAGGAGATGGTTCTAAAATATGTCTATCAGCCACTGTATCAGCTGATCCATACCTGCCACAACATGCACCTCAGATAGAGCATGGAAAGCAGAGCTGGCAGACAAGAACCAGGGATTTCACTAGATATTTTTCTTCACCATCATTTTCATAAACCAACAAGCAACACAGGCAGAGTATTTTAAAAAAATGTGTCTTCATTTCTCATAGCGTCACCATTTCTCCTGCACATTTTGCCCAAAAGACAAAATATAAAATCCATACGTGTAAATCTCATAGTTCACCCAAGCTAAGTTTTTCAAACAGAGGAATAATCAGCCCTTGCCACAGACCCAGCACCTCCTGCCTGACAAATTCCCACACAACAGCAACGATGTTTTAAACAAACAAAAAAACATGCTCTAAGAGATGCCAATGGCTGAAACCAGATTTATTGCCCAAAGGAAAATTGCTTGTTTGAGCTGGACCCTAGTGATGCAAAGAGCAGGTTTGACACAGAGATATTTAGCATTCCCCTCATCTCCCTTTCAGATGATGAAGAGCATGAATGGATCATTCGGACCTGCCGCAAAGCTTGGGGCAAAACAGCTGAGCACAAACCGAAACCGTAACCCAGTTCTGCTAGACAACAACATTCCAGCAATGCAGGTAATCTGACTCACAACAAACCAATCTGTCCTCGTGGATTCCTCTCACCCCTTCCCTCGACAGCAATATAATCTTTCTGTCATCTCTGTCAGCACAAACAAAAATGGAAATAATCGTTTAATCAGCCCTGCTGAGCAAAAGCCATGGAAAAAAGCCGACTGTACTCACAGCAATATTCCTGAGAGGTGTGCAGTGTAGTGTGTATAAACATTATTAAGCCTGAAAACAATCTGTTAAAAAGAGTGCCTCAGATTCCGTGTTGAAGCCATTCAAATCCATCTTAATCAACCTTATTTTCCCAGATTTTAGTTAGCTGTCCTGGTGAATTCCTTTCCTCTCTTTTCGCTCAGTACTTGGATATTGATTGATCATTGTAATAATGTACACCAGAGGTATTCTTTAATGACTGGTTTGCTAACTAGGAAATTATATCCATTTACTACGAACGTTTGTTGAACTCTCCTGAAGCCAGAGTTTAACAAAATAATAAAAGAGGAAAACTGGGTGGGTTGCTGCTTGATTAGTAAGCCAGAAAGTATTTAAAAATAAAAATAAAATGGAATTACATCATTTTCTGGATGTAAGTGCCAGCACTTCTACTTGCATTAACTTTATTTATTACACAAATAAGACATTTACAAAGCACAACATTAAAAGTATGTAACAAAACAGACATTGGTTTTACAAAAAAGTGCTTACAATTTAGTTTTACTTTTTTTTAAAATAAATATTAGTCTTGACTGTCCACTCATTCAGAGAAAAAAAAAATTTAACCATTGTAGCCAAGACATGCAGAATTGCAACATGCTACAACAAAATGATTGGCAGATGAAATCAAACTGGTGTATGGTTGGCATCCTACAGACAGATCTCTGACAGTAGTGCAGGATTGGTTCCCACTCCCCATCCCAACAAGTGAGTTGTGTAAGCACCTTGAGCTTGGGGTTAACCAGCGTGAGCCAAGAAAAGAACTGGTGACAGAACTGTAAACCATTCCACTTCCAGAGCTGAGCCACATCAGTTTCCTTGTTACATGGGAGTGAAGAGCCTTTCCCTAGCTGTGTCCATCACATTCTGCCTGCTAAAGGTTTCGGGAATAGCGACTGGAGAAGTTTAGTGCACGGAGGCTGCGCTGCTGCACCAAACCCATCTGGCAATTACTGAATAAACTAAGAAAATGAGAATGACTTTAATTTTTTTTTTTTTTTTTTAATCCACAGACAGGAGATGAATGCAAATGACCTGAGATAAGGTTTGGTTCAGTGGCAACAGTCAGTGTGAAATATGTTGTGAAACAATGTATTGAATAAATTAGAGGATTTCTTACATTCTTGGTACAGTTGAGTATTTTCCATACACATAATTAGCTCTAAAACTGCACAAGCTGAATTGCTTCCAGTTTTTGCAAACAATTTGGGCTTAATATAAACAGAGCCTGATTTCTGAATTAGCAAAGCTGCTCCTGGCTACTTGTGGGGGGGAAGTGCCCCGAGCAGAGTCTGTGGTGGCATTTGCCCCACGGGCAGTGCTGAGCCCACGTCCCTGGAGAGAAACACCTACACTCCTCAGCCCCTGCCTTGCACTCCTGTCCTGCCATGGTGTGGCTGACAAACCCTTGGGCATACAGTACATTTCACAGGTGTGGGGGGTTTGATCAAGTTGGTATTTAGCAGATACATATTTCATCGTTTCCCTTTCATGGCATTGCCGAGACAGAAGAGAAATGTATCAAACCATCTTCTCCCTCAACAAAAGAGTTGTGGAAATCTCAAGGGCTGTGGGATGTCAGGGCAAGTTACAGCCTGAAGTCTCTCCTTCAGTCTTCAATGAAATAACTACCCATTTGTTTATGGCACTAATTCCACAACTAAACAGTCATTAGGATGCACAAGCACAAATGGAGAACAAAGTCCAGCCCTGGTCACCCCCCACGACTCCCACCAGTGCCTTAAGGCAGTTGCACATGGACACAACAACCACCTCAGCCCCTGATTACAAACACTCACCAAAGCCAGCGAAGGGAACGTCTGTCCTTCACTCATTGCTACGGACAAGGACAGGAATGATTTCACCGGGTGCCCCTGGTGACACCTCTGCAGCAGTAGGTCCATCAGGTCAGGCGTGTGGCAGTGCCTGGTCACTGGGCACACACTGGAAGTGGTTGCTTACACGTCAAGAGGTGACAATAATATTTTGTAGACTTAATTGCCTCTCTCTCCTTTCAAATGCTATTTTAAATTGGGGCTAGAGCTGCTGGCTGCAATTAGACAGATACTGGCCTAGCTGTCTGAGGTAGTACCATCACTCTCTCTCTCTTAATATATACATACACACACAGAAAAGAGTATATGTGTGTGAGTATATACATATATTTGTTCCAACCGACTTCAATGTGTGCTTGTACTCAGTTACTTCTCAAGCCAAGAGATCTTGGTGGCCACCTCAGCAGATTTCCACATCTCCCCATGCCGTTCCCGGAGCGGCGAGCGAGTCGCACGGTTAGCCAGGGCCACACGTCTGGCTGTTGGTGACACTCAGAGCTGAGGCACATGGTCAGGAGAAGGTTTGCCATGTGTGCAATACGGACTGGCCAGACCAGTGGGATGGCTGCCCACCCAGCCAACACTGGAGATTGATGCAGGATCTCCCAGAGAGGAAAACAACATGTATCTACAGTTCAAATCAAAAACAAGTTACGTAACAGATGGATTCCTGCCTCCTGCTCATGGGGCACAGTTCAGTCACATCCCTCACTCACTGTGGCTCATGGCTGGTTTTCACATTCCTGGACGCACAGCCTCAGACACTTTGCAGCAGGACAGACCCGTGTGCTTGCATGGAGAGAGGCTTTGTTACAGACCTGCTCTTGGCTCGGTGCAAACTGAGAAGGGCTGGCAGAGGTCACTTGTTTGCTCTTTGTTATTACTGTTACTGAAGGATCATTTCGGAGTCTTTTTCCTGATTTGGGGCCAGACTGCTGAGCACTTCCTTTGCTGCTGCCGTGAGCCCAGTGGTGCCTGCAGCAATTCCTCCTGGGCTGCAGCTTCATCCCAAGACCTGGCAGGACCAACATAAGTACTCCAGCAAAGGAGAGCAGCAGGAGGGCAGAGGGAATGAGAATGATGCTGCCAGACAAAGCAATAAGCCATCACCTTGGTCTCCACTCGGCTAGTGACTGTTTCTGCTGGCCTTACTGTGGGTTTTGCTTTTTTAACTGATCTCCAGTTCCTACCCAGTTGTTTCCACTGACTGACCTTGGGTCCACAGCAGGGCAGAACATTTCTACACCTTTCCTGCCACCTTCCATTGAGCATTGCCCAGTCCCAGAGTATGGAGTGTCTGAGAGTTTTGTGTAGGTGCATTCTGAAGTCACCCATTTGTGATCCAATATGACTCCAAGGAAATAAAGTAGCTTGTTAATAAAGAACAAGAGTAAAAAAAAATAAAATTAAAACAAACAAAAAAAAAGATTTGGCAGATGGCTGTGAGAGGAGAGAGATATTCAGTGTTCTAAGAACAAGTCAGCAATCAAATACTTCAGGGTGCTAAACCTGGCCCTGCCACCAACCCCACGGTTCCTCTCAGTTTAGGACATCTCTGGTTCCCCTCCTATAAAACGGGGGGAAAAACACTAAGATTTACTTACCTTTGAGTGATCAAAGGACATGTGATTCTAAAGCACTTTGAGGAGGAAGAAAAACTGCCTATTTCCAGCTGGCATCATGTTTTCCACTTAGTGGAGTCTCAGCTACCTGTGAGTTTGGCTCAGGAAGGTCTGTGTGTATATATCAAGTTGCTGAGCCAAAAAAGCCCATTCAGATTTCACACATGCAAGTGGAAATAAGGAGGGATGTCCGGGAACCGCTTCACTGGTGCAAAAAGAGAATCAGGCCAAACCACGTAAATTCCTCCTTCCTTTACACTCAGAGGTGATCATCGACCCCCCTGAGACTCAGCGTGTTCTGGGTTGTTCATATTCCCATGGGTTTGGGAGCAAGATTTGCAAGCACAGTAGAGTCACTAGTTTTGACTGTGTCTGGCACTGCCTTGGAGAGACTCACGGTCATTCTACAGGTCCACAAGAAACAAGTGAAAAATGTAACTCTGCACTCAACACACACATACACAGAGTGTCGCTGGAGAAATCAGAGCGGACGAGAGGTGCTGGTCAATGGAAAGAACTGAGAGTGCTGGATCTGAGCTTCTCCTGCGTGAGTGGTGCCGGCGCCGTGGGCTGGAGCGGAGTCAGCGGCTGAGGGGCAGTGGTGCTGGTAGCGCCATGGGCAGGTGAGGAAGAGTTCGCGCAGTCAGTACTGAAAGAGGATGACCTGGTGGGGAAAACATGAGTTGTGCATTAGCTGCTTGCAGAGACAGACAGCCCTCATGCTGCCAGACACAGGCCCTGCTGTGGCAGCCACTTCCCTGCAGGAAAACCCTCTCTGGAAGCACTGTCTGCTCGGGATCCTCCAGCCCTGCCCACACAGCCCTGCTGGGGACACAGGCACTGCACCAAGGGGCCCAGGGGGGAAGTAACAGGACTGTGGCACCTCCAGCCACACCTTCAGCTGTGAAACCAGACAAAACTGGGCAAAACCAGGATTCAATTGATTTGTTCTGTGATGCAGCAGCTACCAAGAAAGGTGAAGGCCATTACCAGCAGTCCTGGCTCTATCCTCCTCACTTGCTACTCAGCACGGGCTCCCCTCAAATCACTACCCCTCAGTGCTCTGAAATACAGCACTGCCCTTGCCATGGGGCAGGGGAAACAGCATCTGAGGCTCACAATTCAGTTCTCCCCAGTCACTGTGCTGGGCCCTCTGAGAGGAGGGTGAGGGCTGCCCATGGGAAGAGAGAAACAGACTTAGCATTTACATGTGCTTTCCCAGGAACTCGTCTATCACTGCTCTTAAAAGATTTTTGGATGTGGAAAAAAGGCTGCTTCAGTTTTCAGGAATTCAACATATCAGCAACTGTTTGGAAAAGGAGCTGGTTGGGGGCAGCTCCATGTCCTGAGAACCCTGTTCTGCAACAGCTGCAAGCAAGTAATTGCATTTAAATCAGGAGCTGCTTGCTGCAGTGAAGCTTCTCTGAATGACAGCAGCACCAGGACCCCATAATATTTTCTGAAAACTCTACAGCTTGCTGCGCAGATATCATGACAAAATGGTAGCATTTAGACTAAGAAACTAACTTTGCTGTGCCCCTGCTTGTGCTCATCAAACAGAGCTCAATAAGCTGCTGCTGCTACACTGAGTAGAGGTCTGAAGAGAGACTGAGAACTTCTAACAGTAAAGACAACAGCTAAAACCACTGAGAGTTGCCAAAGGCTCAGTGTTTCCTCAAAGTGGGATTCTAAATAAAATCTCGCAAGCCTAAGCAGATTTGAGAAATCTTGTGCCCCACTAATAGTGTGTTAGAACAGATATCAACATGCAATATTGTTTCCTGGCCAGACATTGTGAAACAACATTCCTACTTCAGATATTGTAACAGCCAGTTGTTATTTCTTTTAAGCAATACTGCAGTCCACAAGAAATGAATCTTTTTTGTTAACTCATGGAAAACTGACAAGTTAGCACATGCTGAAGGTCCTTCCTGCCCCATTGTTAACAGCCAGTCACTGTTCACACCGACAGTGCATACAGGCACCTAAGAAACGGAGCAGGATGGAGCTCAGGGCACATGGAAAGGGGAGAAACCAGAGAGAGGATTCAAGGATTCAGGCAGGAGGATGTGAGAAGCCTTCATTGAATGCAGGCACAGCATCCCAGCACATCACAACAACAAAGGGTGTTTAGTGAAACATAAAGCGATGACATTTTGACCAACACCATACAGGTACATCAACCTGGGGCCACCAAAACTAAGGAAAGACACATGGGTGGGCAGCAGCTGCCAGAGGTCATGGAGAAGCAGTGATGCTGACAAGAGACAGCAGCAGCAATGATGTTACACACAAATCTTTGCTACAGTGGCCCCAAAGCCTGAAACAAGGACTACAATTACCTTCTCACCCCTATTAGATAGTGGTCCTTCCATGTCTGCTTTGAGGTGCACTGGTGGAGCAGTGTAGGGAGGTCTACAGTGCACTTGTCCACACTGTACCTGACCTGTGGATGAGAAGAGGCTTCAGCCCCTGTTACTACAAACAACACATGCCCTCCAACCAGCACGGCCAAGTTTCCACTGGGAGCAGCTCGGGACATGCATGGAACAAGAGGAGACTGGTGGGTTGGGGGAGGCACAGCAGGAGCCCACATGGGCAGGGGAGGGGAGAAACCTCACAACAGCCATCGAGCCAAAACCTCAGTCCACAACTCCCGAATGATTCACCGGCACTTGGAACTGTTACAGAAAGCAACTCGGCTGCTCTGAGTAAGAAGGAGACCATTGACCACCGAGCTCAACAAGGCACACTCACACCTCTTCTCCGGGGCAAAGAGAACACAAGAGGGCCAAGGAGCAGTCAGAGCATCCAGACACTGCCTTTCCTGCGGATGATGTACGGTGGGAAAGAGCAGCAGCC